ATAAAATTCACTTTTTTTTTTCTTTAGATGGGATCTCGCTACATTACCCAAGCTGGTCTTGAACTCATGAGCTCAAAGGATCCTCCTATGTCAACCTCCTATGTAGCTGGGACTACAGAGGCATGCCACCAGGCCCAGTTAAAACCCACTTCTTATCCCTTTATAAGATAATGTTGTAGAACTTTCCTTTATCCCCTTCATTTCATTAGCTCTAATTCAGAAGTCATCAAAGGGTTAAGCCTAGGTTTATCTGATTGGAATTGATTTTTCTAAGACTTTTAGGGCTATGGCATGAGGAATGCGATGTAAGAAGAAGTACAAGAGAAAAGTGGGGAGCCAGGAAGGCCAGGGGTCTCTGGGGCTAGAAAGCACCAGGAACCAGCAGCTGGCATTGAGTATGGAGATCAGCCTGCCCTGTGGGACTGGTCCAGGGAGAGCGGGAGCAGGTTACCTCTGGAGGAGTGGACTGTAGCTAGGGTGGGAACTGTGAGGGCTTGAGGACCTCTCCCGATTATACCTGTGCTGAGATTCTTAAATGGCACAGGCCCATGGAACTGTCAACAGGGCAACCAGGAGGGACTGGGTCTCACACTGAGCCAAGTATAASGAGAGTTCCAAGAGGCAGCATGGAGAAAAGAGGTGCTCAGGGGAAGGGAGCACAGCGGTGTTCCTGGGAGAGTAGGGGCTGCCTAGTCCAGGGAGGGCTGTAGAAGCCAGTGGTCCCCCACCTCAGGCCATGGTTTATAGTCAGGACAGCCTGGGCAGTGGTGGCCACAGGGGACTATTGGAGGTGGAGACTGCTTTTCTGGCTGAGTTAGACAGCAGGCTCTGGGCAGGAGATCTGCTGGAAGGGTRTAGGGTACAGAGGGTCATGGTAGGGGACTTTCCCTAAAGGGATAGGAGGTATGAGGGGACCTGGGTTTTGCCTGTGAGAGCTGCTGTGCATCCATTATGGAGAAAGGTCACTATCAAAGGAACTGTGGGCTTCTGAAGGCCCATGTGTGGGGCATTCAATTCAATTGAAGTGTTGCTTTGAGGCCTCTGGTGCCTCCAGGTATGTGGACTCCTTCCTCACTCATCTACAGGACAAACATATTTTCCCTGTACCACCCCCAAACCCCTGTGCCAGCTACATCACCAGCATTCTTTCTTAATTTGCAGTATATAAACAGGACTTTGTGGGACTTTGTGTCAACTCAGAATTTGCTCCCAGCTGAGAGGAGTTGTTAAATCCACATTCAAAAGCATGGCATGTCCACTTAGAGCTTAAAGACAGAAAGCAAAGCCAGTCTTCAGCCTCATTCACCACCCAGGGGAGCTTCTGTGAGCTTGAAATGGAGGAGCAAATTCATCTGAGCTGCTGGTTGGGAAGCTGAGTGAGGGTGTTCCACTCTCTATCCCAAATCTTAGGCTCTAGAACAACTGTTTGTAAACATGGGGGGACTCCCAGAAGAGGAGTTGATATATCTCTCCATTCCAGTGGCCCACAAATCTCACTGTACCTCAGGACGCAGTCCCCAAGTAGAATGTACCTGGAAGCCCAGCAGACCATGCCCCGTCAGCCTCTCTGGAACACGGGCTGAGCAGGCTGCCCTGGAGACAATGTGCTCAGATTATAGGAGAGGGGCCCATCACTTCCAGCTCCTGCTGCCTCCTCCAAGGGGGCGAAGAGCAGGCTGGGATACCCATCACCACCTCTGACAGGCAGTAGACTAGGCTTGTAGGCCTGGGTGAATTCTCTGGTTTCTTTTATCTAATTTTGTGTGTTTATTTTTACTTTTATACTTCAATTAAAATATTTATAGATATATTAAAAAAACTACAAACATAAGATGTCTCATGATCTGCTCTCACCCTGACCATACTAATCTCATCTCATCCTTAGTTTCTTTGTCTGTGGATGGGGTAAGCAGTCTTGGCTCTGTGTATGGTGGTTGTGAAGATGCCGTGGGCCAGATTTTGGGATAGGACCACATCCAGGTTCACCATCCCACAGACAACCATGGGGTTCCTGGGATGGCAGAGGTTGTTCTGTTTTGTTTTGTTTTTTTTTTTTGTTTTTGTTTTTTTTTGTTTTGTTTTGTTTTTAGTTATAGGTGGACACAATATCTTTATTTTATTTTTATGTGGTGCTGGGGTTTGAACCCAGTGCCTCATGCATGCTAGGTGAGCGYTCTACCTCTGAACCACAACCCCAGCCCCAGAGGCTATTCTTGATGAGCTCAGGGAAGAAAGAAAGCAGGACATATTTAGAGGGGAAGACAAAGTCTTGTGCCAGTGTCCCAGAGCAGAGCTTAGCAATGTCCCCTGAAACATGTACACAATCACACATATCCTTTCTCTCAGGCATACACACATTCATTTCTGCCATCATCAGACCCTGGTGGATAGACACCCAGGGACCTGCATCTGAAGGAGCCAGAAGCAAGCAGCAACTGAGCATGTGCAGCCCCCAGCACTGCTACTTAAAATGGGGAGGGACCCTGTGGCTGTGAGTGGCTGTATCTGTGATACTCATTTCTTTGCACTTCGCTGGACACTGAGCAGCCCCCAGAGCAGCTCTGGCTGTGCCTGCACTGAATGCGGGAGGAGCCAGCAGGTGGAACGCGCAGCAGTGCCAAGGATGGAGGAAAGCTAGGAGGCTGGGCACCACTAAAGTTCTAGCTCCCCATGCCCTTGACTTCTCTGTGAGATCAAACAAGGACCTCAGGATGAACACTACTTCAGGTTCAGACTCACCAGGCCCAGCCCAGGAGCCCACTTTGGGGGCCACCTCAGCTCCACCCAGCATGTGGGACAGCACCCGGAGCAGTGTCTCCAGCCTGGCCCAGCTTCTACCTGCCAGCCCTACGGTAAGCCCGAGGAGCTTGTGCATGCACAGAGCCTTCCCTCCCCACTTTCTACATCTCCTCAAGTGTTTTGACAGCGAGATAGGAAAGGTCTGAGTTCTGCTGTGGGACTTTGGTCATGTCACCAGACCTCTCTGAGCTTGTCCTACACAAATTGGCTGAGAGGAGGGTACAGTGTTCTCTCCTGCAGAGAGCATTAAAGAAACACAAAGGGGCTGGGGTTGTGGCTCAGTGGTAGAACGCTTGCCTACCATGTGTGAGGCACTGGGTTTGATTCTCAGCACTGATTACAAGTAAATAAAATAAAGGTTCATTGACAACTAAAAAGAAAAAGAAACATAAAGGYCCACCCTGACCTGCTTGTGGCTTGCATTCACTTCTTCCAGAAGTTGGCCAGATGCCCTGTGGAGCTTTTCAGAGGGGAAGACATATCCGGGGCCTCAGGATTTGTTCAGGCTACTGTGGAATGTTGGGCAGGAGAGAGAGCAGACCAAATTCCTTCCTGGAAAGGGAATGGATAGGAGAGGTTTTTAAATTCTTTGTACTAAATTCAGAGGGTAATGACCTCCCTGCTGTGACTCTGGGAGACCCACTCCATCTTTGCAAAGGAAGTTCCTTCCCCTTCTCTCTTGCCAGGGATCAAGATCAGCCCTACCCAGCTATGGTATGAGGGAATGCARCTTCTCCTTTGAACCTTGATAGTGGTGCCCTTCATCTGGGAGGGACAACCTAGGAGATGGCTCTACCTTCTTAAGGTCATCCAAGTCATATCCCTGATTATCGGGCACCTGTCTATCTGTCCAGTCTCCAACAAGTTGCCTAAGCCCACACATAGAAGCCTCACACCTATGGGTTCAGGTTTAGGAAGAACGGCATTTCCATTCCAATTTTGGCCACTAGCTGGCTGTATGGACAAGTGGCTTTGTCATTCTGTACCTCAATTTTTCTACCTGCCCTTCTGGGAACCCTCTTCCTTTTCAGAGACATTTGAAGGTGATGGGAGATAATGTGTGACCTTCATTTCTCTGTCTCTTCATAGGCAACTGGGGCTCAGACTGCTGCCCGGATCCCCTTCCCCACAGTTGATGTTCCAGATCATGCTCACTATACCCTGGGCACGGTGATCCTGCTGGTGGGGCTCACGGGGATGATGGGCAATCTGACAGTCATCTATACGTTCTGCAGGTACCTGATTGATGGAACTGGATCCAGGGCAAGAAGGGTGACCAGAACACAAGGACCAGAACATTGCCCAGCTCTGCCCAGGGTGCTGTTGAGGCTAGCTGGGGGGCCACGGCCAAGCCTTCAATGATCTCAGGTTTCAGGCTTCAATCTTTAAGCTCAGAAAAGGGGGAAAATTAGTCCAAGTAAACTTGAATGGCATATGTCAATTGGGCCCCAGGAATGTCATCTGTTACCCCTAGAATATTGGGTGTCTGACCACTCTGCCCTGTTTTCAGATCACTTCTGCCATCCTGCCCCAGGGGACATCCTCAAGAGCAGCCTTGGGCACAGGATGCTGAGTCCTCAAGCCACTTGGCAACCATCAACCATCGTAGGCTTCTTTCAACCTGTCCTGCTGGCAGGCCAGTGGAGAAGTGAGCACAAATAGTCAGTTCCTGACTCCCCACCAACTAATAAAAGGACAGAGAAAGCCATTTATCCCCTTTGACCTCATTTTTTATTATTATCTGTGAAATGGAGTTGTGACTTYCTCCATGGTGTCCAATGAAGATGAAGTAGGTTTGTGTTTGTGCATTGCCCTGCAAAGGAGTCTTTGAATCCTGACTGTGCACTTACTGAATGTCATGATTGGGAGCAAGTCACTTCATGAGTTAGGGCCTCAGTGCTCTCCTCTGGAAAATGGGAATCATGATGCATCCCTCAGGGGTAGATGCAAAGACAGATGGTGCCAGGAGACAAGGTTTGTGAAGGTGGCTGGCCTGGGTTCACAGTCCTCTGCCCTTTGCCATCCTGAGGATGAGAGCAACAGAGACAGCTGTGCCCAGCAGGGCCTGGGCCAGGCAGGACATTGGAAGAAGGACAAGGAGGGAGCATGAGTTCATGGAAGGCATGGGAGGAGGAGCCTGGGAAGAAGTGCCTGGGGAGACCAGGGCCTGGAGAGGGTTGTCTAAGGAGAAACTGTGAGTCACCCAGAGGGAATCCAGAGGCTGAGAAGAGGAAATGGATGTGACCTGAGAACTGGCCTCCCCTGGGCGATACAGGAGTTTTTGGAGAGAAGTTCTGAGGGAGCTGCCTTGGGGGGTCCCTCTCAGCTGGCACTGCGGGGTCAACTGCTCCTCGGACGGTGCCTGTTGGACAGAGGGCTAGGAGTGTGGCCCAGCAGCACGGCCTGTCTGCATGTATGTGTGTGTGTGTGTGTGTGTGTGTGTGTGTGTGTAGTTGAGGGGTAAGGGAAGCTCCTCACAACTCTGGAGGTATTAGGAAACACCCCCTAACCACTTCCAACCCTCACAGGAGCAGAAGCCTCCGGACCCCTGCCAACATGTTTATTATCAACCTCGCTGTCAGTGACTTCCTCATGTCCTCCACCCAGGCCCCCATCTTCTTCGCCAGCAGTCTCTATAAGCGGTGGCTCTTTGGGGAGGCAGGTAGACACCTGGGGCTCCCTTTGGCTGGAGGGAGGGGGAGGGGTCTGGCATGGGGTTGCCCACTGGGCAGGGTGACCCAGAAGAGGCGATTCCCTTCCTCCTGGGTAAAGAGTGAGCAGCTGCCCTCAATTCCATGAGTGAGTGAGAAGGGAAGATCAGGTTCTAGTCCTGAGTCCTCTGCCAGCCTCAGTCAGATGTGGATGGTAGACAGGGTGGAGAGGGCTCAGGCCTGGTTTCCTGAGAGGTCAGAGAAGGAGCCAAGTTCATCCCATCCCCAGTGCCTCCCTCCACTTGGGTACCTGATTGAATCCCTCCCCCGAGGACTTAGGGAAGAGGGCTGTGCCCACAGGTTGTGAGTTCTATGCCTTCTGTGGGGCTGTCTTTGGCATCTCCTCTATGATAACCCTGACGGCCATCGCCTTGGACCGCTACCTGGTGATCACACGGCCCCTGGCTACCATTGGGATGGCATCCAAGAAGAGGGCAGCATTTTTCCTGCTGGGTGTCTGGTTCTATGCCCTGGCCTGGAGTCTGCCACCCTTTTTTGGCTGGAGTAAGTGTTCTGGTAGAATTTGGGGAGGGGCAGATAGACTGGGAGAGGGGTTAAGGGGAGGTGGGTAAATTTGGGTCAATCAACTGACAGGGGGGACCCAGGGACCTCCTGAGCCCCAAGTCAGATGGGCATTCAGGGGCCATCAATCACTAGCAGCAGGGGAGACTGAGGGCACTCAGTTAGGGGCCAGAGGATCACCTGGACAGTCTGTCCCCAAATACAGGTGTTCTTGAATGTGTAATACCAAGTTTGCAGTGAGTCAGACTAGGCAGGGTCTGGAGTTCGAACCTCAGTGAATAGGAGGGTAAGCAGCAAGGCTCTAGCCCTTGTGAGACAGAGATCAGTGAGCATGACCCTGGGGCTGGAGTGAGGCCTCTGCTGCAGTCTAGCAAAAATGAGCAGCTGTGGGCTTTGCCAGCTGTCCCCTGAGTGGTACCCCTGCCAGAATCACCTTGGGAAGGTCCCTCCACATCCCCCAATTGCCACAGGCTTCCTCACTGCACTGGACAGGGTAGAGGCCCAAATATCACATATGAAGCCCTTGATGGACAAGGAGTCTAGGCAGTGCCACTGAGGAGGCTGAGCACCTGTCCCGCTCACAGGCGCCTATGTGCCTGAGGGGCTGCTGACATCCTGCTCCTGGGACTACATGACCTTCACGCCCTCTGTGCGTGCCTACACCATGCTGCTCGTCTGCTTTGTGTTCTTCCTACCCCTGTTTCTCATCATCTACTGCTACATCTTCATCTTCAGGGCCATCCGGGAGACAGGCCGGTAAGTGACAGCTAACAGAGACCCTGCCCCACCCTCCCGAGTAGTCCCAGCTACTGGTAGGCTAACCTGTGCTTATTGGGTGTGGACGCCTAGAAAAAACTCCAGAGACAAGGTTTATGAGGAGGGAGTTTTAGGCATGTCTGAGGGGACAGARAAGGTTCTACCCCAGGTAGAACCTCAACAAGGCAGTTGAGAATCAGTGTAATGAGAATTTTCTGGAAGGGATAACCCCCTTCCAAGTGCCCCAGGGATGGATCAGGGAAGCTCCTGACAGCAATCATGATTCTGGTACTCACTGCAATTGGAATGGGGTCAGTTCAAGAATACACACCCTTCCCAGGGCCTGTGAGGGCTGTGGCGAGTCCCCACGACGGCGGCGGCAGTGGCAGAGGATGCAGAGTGAGTGGAAGGTGGCCAAGATCGCGCTGCTGGTCATCCTTCTCTTCATAGTCTCCTGGGCCCCCTACTCCATTGTGGCCCTGGTGGCCTTTGCTGGGTGAGCAGGAGCTAAGGGGTTGGGACAGGGGTTGAAGGTGTGGGAAGGGAAAGGGACCCCTGGATGGCCTCTCCCCGCAAGCCCAGCCTGAGCCAGCCATCCTCACACCCTAAGTCCAGCCTCCAAGTCTTATTCTTTTCCCAACCAAGGGTCTCTACCCAGCTCCAAGGCATATGCTGGAGGAACTCTGGGCCACCCCCAGATTCAGCCAGAGGGCCTGCCAATCCCCTTGGGAACATACAGCTCTCCTTGAGCTTCTGGTCTCCTCTATCTGGGCTGTGGGCATCCTACTTGGATCCCTAAGAGGTGCCCTATAGTCCTTTTTAACTAGAGTCTGGGACTTTAGCATCTATAGTAGCATGAGTATAGGCTAGACTTCAGAAACACTTTTGTGACATGGAGAGTTATGAAACCTTGGAAGTGTTCAGCTATGGACCTTTTTGTGTATGGATGGCCTGGTCCCTTTGAAGAGCCTACTGTGAGTTTTCTCTAAGAAAGACAGGAGAGCCAGGTGTAAGGGTGCATGCCTCTAATCCCAGTAGCTCAGGAGGCTGAGTCAGGAGAATCGCAAGTTCAAAGCCAGCCTCAGCAACTTAGAGAGGCCCTAAGCAACTTAGAGAGACCCTGTCTCAAACTAAAAATTATTTTTTTTTTAAGAAAGGGCTGGGGGGCTGGGGTTGTAGCTCAGTGGTAGAGTGCTTGCTTAGCACACGTGAGACCCTAGGTTTGATCCTCAGCACCACTTAAAAATAAATAAATAAATAAAAATAAAGATATTGTGTCCATCTACAACTAAAAAAATATTTTAAAAAGAAAAAGAAAGGGCTGGAGATCTGGCTCAGTGTTTAAGTGCCCCTAGGTTCAATCCCCAGAACAAAAAAAAAAAAAAAAGAAGGAGGAGCAGGCACAGAAGGTGGAAGAGGAAAGATAGGAGAGCAAGTGGGCATCAGGGTGAGGCTGGGGTATGGGAAGAGCTGTGTAGATGGGTCAATGGAGAGCACCAGGAGATATTGTCAGCAGCACAGGCTCTAAGATAGTGGGACTTGGTGAATCATCCCCAGCTAACCCTGGCATATCTTTCTCCCAGAGACCCATCCTCAACCATCTCTACTAGCTTCCCCCCTGTCCACTTTAGTCCAGAATTCTCCCTGATACAGGGCTGACCCAGCTGTGTTGGTTTGGGGTGGGCTGGGGTTTGGGCCTTGGCAAGATCTGACTCAGAGGAAGAAGATTGATGGGGGAAAACCAACTGGGGAGAAGGATGGAGGGCCACATATCTTCTCTGTCCTAGGTATGCACACCTCCTGACTCCCTACATGAGCTCAGTGCCGGCTGTTATCGCCAAGGCCTCTGCCATCCACAACCCCATCATTTATGCTATCATCCACCCCAAGTACAGGTATGGCCCATCTCCAGGCCTCCAGGGCCCCACCTATGGGCATGGAAGGCCTGGGCCTGCAGATGCAGCAGAAGTCTGTCATCTGTCTTGTCTCTTGTATGTACTTTGGGTGGGGGCCGTGAGCTGCCAGGAGCAGACAACAACAGTGGGTGGGGTCTGGAGTTGGTATGACCCTCTCCTATCTCAGTTTCCAAGAGGGCTGTTTGGAGGAATATCAAGTCTTCTTGGGCAGTGTCCAATCCTAATTAGGGGGTTGAGCTTACCTCATTGGAGCTGGGTCATAAGGCATCTAGGGTGGCAACTCAACATTGCTGTCCCTATTAAGACAAGACCCCAGACACAAGAGCCTGAAGAGAAGCCAGCAGGGAGCACTTGGCTTCACCTCAAGGGCCCTGGCAGGGTCTTTGGGGTGGTTGTGGCCAGTGCATGCTCTGCTATGAGCAATGAGGCACTTTTTCTATGGGACTTTCAGTGTTTCTTTTAGCCTGGAAGTTTCTATCACACAGCTCCCTCTGAAAAAGTGAACTGCAAGACCCAACCGGTCCATCCTAAGCACTCAGGAGTGTCCCTGATCCCCACTTTCAGAGATATGGCTTAAGCCAGCCACATGTGGGCTGGAACCAACATTCACCTGAATGAACCTGCTACTCTAAGACTCTCTTTCCTCACCTACCACCCAGGGTCTGTCTATCCTCACCTACCAGGGTCTGTCTTTCCTCACCTACCACCCCAGGGTCTGTCTATCCATCCCACCATTCTGTAAGCCCACTGGTCTCCTTCTCCCAGCCTCTGTCTGCCTCATCATTCAGCTTCTGTCTGTCCATCTTCATTGCCTCCCATGACTCCCAGTGACTGCCTGTCTGTTCCCATCACCCAGTGTCTGTTTATCCACCAACCTTAGCCATGTTTCAGTCTGTCTGTCCTTCCCTTACCTCTTGTGTCCCTAACCAGATGTGTGGCCCTGCAGGATGGCCATCTCCCAGAACCTGCCCTTCCTGAAGAAGCTGCTAGGTGTGTCCAGCCAGCATGGCCGTCCATCCCTCAGCTACCGCTCTACCCACCGCTCCACTCTGATCAGCCATGCCTCCGAAGTCAGCTGGATCTCTGGACGGAGGCGCCAGGAGTCCCTGGGTTCTGAGAGTGAGGTGGTAAGGATGCTGAACAATAGCTGGCTGGCACCTCACCACCCCTTCCTCTACCAGCCCTAAGGCTCTGGGAAGGCCACATGCCCTGGAAGAACTGCCACTGAGACTGAGAGACCTCCAGTACATCATCTTCCAAGACAGGCAGGGTCACTGGGGCCAGAGAAGGGATGAGCAGCAAGTCTAGTCTGAAAACTGGTCTTCCAACTCCAAGAGGTCTCTTTTTCCATGCTGTCAAGACTGAAAAAATTAGTATTTGGGGCTCTAAATAGGCATCTAGAGACAAAGCCAGCTCAGGGGCCTCATTCCTCAGCATTAAGTCCCCTCACCCTGGGCACCTTGAAGAGCCACAGGAAAGGGAAGGAGGAGCATTGGCCATGGAGTCAGGGAACTGACCTGGAGATTGAGCTTATCTCATCCTCACGATGTGAGCCTGGGCGGGTCCCTCACCCCTCTGAGCCTCTGCATCCTCCCTGGAAAGGGTGAATAGTCTTTCTATTCACAGTGACTAGAAGATTGTGGTGTGCCCATATCTGGGTGCTGATTTGACGGTTAATGTTGGTCTTTGGAGCCTCCAGCCCATCAGCCCTCCCCAGGGCCTGGATCTGTGGGAGCCCTAAATGTTGCCAGGAGAGCTCCCCAAGGCTCTAGCCAGGTTCCTCCATCCTTCTGYCTCCAGGGCCCACTGTGGCTCTCACCAAGAACTGCTATGGACAGACTAGATGGACAGTGATCTCCCTCCACTGTCCCATCTTTGAGGGTCTCTATTAAGGAGATGAGGGAGGAGTTGTCAGGGTCCCTTTCCTGAACCTCTGTAGTGAAGAATAAATAAGTCTAATTTATTAACAGAGGCCTAGACCCTCATGAAGACCACCCATCCACCCCAAAATCTGAACACCAACATGCTTGGGAAGGTGTGTGTGTGTAAGTGCKTGCCAGCACACGCCCACACTTAGCACAGGCACACGTAGTTTGCTATCAATATGTGTGGATATRTTTGAATATGTGTGGGGAAGGTCAAGAAGGACCTGAGAGGAACAGGGGAGGGACAAGATGCAGAGTGTCCTTCTCACCTCACAGTTGCCTCTCCCACTTCCCCCAGGGCTGGACAGACACGGAGGCAGCAGCTGCATGGGGGGCTGCCCAGCAAATGAATGGATGGTCCCTCTGTGGTCAGATCCTGGAGGATGAGGAAGCCACAGCCCCTTCCAGGTCCCAAGGACAGGAAGCTGAGACTTTCAGGAAGGTGATTGGGTATAGTACCTGCCAATCTGTAAAGATGTGGGAAGTAGGGGCAAGTAGCCCAGGGAATGGCCTGGAARGGGGACTTGTTCTTGTGGGCAGGGCCAATGCCCTGTGGGAATCACCCACCCCTACCCCATACACCCCAGTTTTCCCCTTGCCTGCTAGGGGGTCCCCGTGACTCCAGGACTTCCTGAGCAGGGTCTATATGGTCTGTGACTATTCTTGGGTGTGTCTGGGTAACTATCTATGTACACATTTAGCAGGCGGTGCTGTTGGCTATGTAGTGCCATGACAGACATATGCACACGTGTATATAAATGCATATATCCATGAAGGTATGTGGTCTGTAGCTGGCAGAGCACAACTTGTGCATATGTGTGACCATGTGCCCAGCATATGCTTTCTGTCACTGTAAGACCTCAGGACACACAACTGAACATGTCCCCATGTGTCTTCTGTGTTTGCGTGTGACTAAGTGTGGATGGTATGCATCTCTCTGTGTGATTTCAAGACTGGACGTACCTGGGGGGAGAGGCTACAAGCTGTGTATGTGCTCACCACAAACGCCCTGAGATCAGGATGTCACCCAGAATACTTGTGGCTATTAAAAGAAGGCCAGCTGTCAGCCCAAGTGCCTATGGAACGGAATGTCGATGGCGATTAGAGAAGGCCATATTCTGGAACGTTGGAAATTCCGTTTGCACAGGCGCCCTGGGCAGCCCCTCCTCCCTCAGCTGACAGCTCCCTGCCCTGCCCTTCTCTCACCCCCTTCTCTCAACCCACCAGTTGACTCCTGGGCACTCTCGGGCTTCCCTAGTCAGTCCAAGACCTCAGATGCATTCCTGCCTGCCTTTCTCATGTGGTTTCTCTGTGTGATTATGAGAGGGGAGCCCAGGGCTACTCTCTGAAGTTGGGGAGCCCCTGTTTTTCCCAGCACTCTCCTGAGAAGAACCCCACCCTGTCTTAGAGCTCAAGCACTGTGTATAACCATGGAGACCAGAACAAAAGCCTGGCAGTGACCCCCAGGCTGGCAGGGCAGTAATGAAAGACACAGTTCCCATCCTGGGTGGAGACTGGGCTGGGCTGGGGCGCTGGGCACGGAGAGCTGGCCATCAGCAGTCACCAAACACGCGTGATAAGTGCTGCCATGGAATTATGAGCACGCAGTGTGCTGAGAGCAGAGGCAGGTCCCTGAGGCTCCCCAGGGAAGGTGAAGGTGAAGTAGGGATCTCCAGCCTGGGGGTAGGGAGGGAGCTCTGTGCCATCCTGGTCAAGGAAACAGCCTTGACCTCCTGTGTGAAGGCAGGAGGATGCATGGGAGGGATTCAGTGTGTCTTGGGAAAGGATAGTTCTTTGTGACCCTAGAACCAGCCAGACAGACCCTGCAGATGGCAGAGGGGATGTAGCAGAAGGGAAAAGTGGCAGGAAATGGTAGGAATAGGGGTCTGTGGGGTCCCTAAATCTGCCCCTAGGAGACAAGAAACCCAGCGAGGGGCGTGGTCACTTTGTAGGGTAGCCAGGACCCTCCGCAAAGTCCCGGAAGGGTGGAATTGAGTGGAGTGAGCCTGCAGGGTGAAGCTTCSGAGGAAGCCACAAGGCAGGCAAGCAGCGACTCCGAGCAGCAGGGGTGACAGGAGCTGCCAGAGCCCACACATATGCAGGAGGAGTGCTCAGAAGGGAGAAATTGAAGGGTGAGAGTGGGCAGGAACCCAGTCCAGACCCCAGGAGCCCGAGCCTGGAGGATATCCTGCAGACAGCCTTAGACTTTTCTGCTCTTTCTCTGAGACGTGGTCCTTGAGAAGGCCCAACCCCAAACTGGAATGCAGCCTGGCCCTTCCACTCAACCTCCTGCACCTCTCAGTGACACAGAGGATCATTGGGAGACTGTTCCCCTTAGGAGGCTTCTCGGGCTAAACGGATGTTTGCTGTTTGTTTTCAGACCAAGGGGCAGCTCCCCAGCCTGTGCTCCAGGATGTAGGACGCCCATTGGTTCTCTCTTTCTTCTGGGACGTGTCTGGCCCTGTCACACCCTCTCACACACACAGACCCAGGATTACGCCTGGAGCCTGCAGGCTTTCAAAATGGCCCTGTTGCCTGTGCTGTMCTGGATTCACAGTCCCAGCCCCACATCCTCTCCCCACACCACAAAACTACTGCCTTGCAATGTGGTCTACACCCGCTTCTCAGCTCAGCAGCCACACCCGGGCTCAGTCTGAAGAATGTATACACAGGCCTTCTTCCTTCCGGCAGTCATCCTCCTCTCCTGAAATGCTGTGTGCTGCGATTGTCCAGGCCGTGACAATGGTGATGGCTCCAGAGAACACACCAGCTATTTATGAGCCAAGCATCTTGGCCAGTCTGTGCATCCAGGCTGGGCATTTCACTGGTCCCGGGAAGCCAGAGCATCTCCCACTGCCAGTGGCTGAAGCTAAACACAGACCTTACTTTGTGCACTGAAAATGCTCCCTCACCTCCTGCTTCTCCCTCTCCCAGCACAAGGCTCCCTGCAGCCCACACTCCCCTCCCCTACTCACAGGCACCAATGAGCACCTCTCCCATAGGTACCTATTTGCATGCGCACCAAGCACATTTGTCCACACCCTGCCCCTATGGTTTGTTTCATATCAGTGCTTTAATTTCATCCCAGGGCAGTGTGATTCTGACAGGGTAAAAGAAAATAAAAAAGCAGAGAAGATCTTGTCTGACAAATATGGTGTCTACCTACTGGTCTGTGATGGGAGAGAGAGCTGGGRCCTGACCTTGAAGGGCCCAGCAGCTTCTTTCCTCCCCTCTCCCATCCCCCACTTCCACTCCTGAAAGCTCATCTCAAACGGCAGGGGGGCAGAGTAGAGGAGGGACAAAGACCAGACATGGCCCATCCCCACTCCCCAATGAGCTACTGAGCTCCGCCTAGCCTGTGGGTACCAGCTGCTCTCCAGCTGGCTTTGGGTCTCCCAGGGGAGGCAGATGGAGGGAGGTTGGCCTTCCCCTTTAAGAGCATCCTCCCACTACCCTCCCTTCCCTCAGAGGCCGAGGCCAGCATCAGAGTCCAGAGAAAGAGCCTGCAGCTCCAGGTACAGCTTTGCCCAACCCCATACAGGGTCAGCTCTTTCCTTTCCCCATGTGGTCATGCCCTGCTGCTAGGTCCTCTCCAGCCTCGTAGGATGGATACCCCTAAGAAAGGGACAAAGCTGGAGTTAGGAATGGATGGCATGGGGCCTGGGGGGTAGGGAATGATATGAAAGAAGCATTGGGGGCTGATCTTCTGGGCCAGGACAGGCAAGACTGCAGGATACAGGGCAGAGACGGTAGTAAAGTGGGGGTAAAGAACACAGGTCCCTTCCTAGCTTCTTCCATTTGCTATTTTTGTGACCTTGGGCAAATTGTCCTGTATCATGGGCATTCCTCCCGTGCACTTTGTGTCTGCCAGGCCTGGGACGTGAGGCTGGGGTGTTGGCAGCAGGGAAATTGCTCACACCCTGGCTGCAAAGTTCTCAGAGCAAGCCCAAGTTAGAGCTCTGAGAGGGCCAGGAACCAACCAACCTGGTTGTCTTCCCTGAGCCTCAGTTTCCCCAGCTGGGGAACCAGGGAGAGATTTGATCTATCTCCAGACCACATGGGGCCTGAATTCTCTCTTGGGGCAGGGCTTCTAGGAGTATCTTGACCCAAAGACCACACTGGCAGGAGTCCTGAGGGGCCAAGGCCCCCATCCAGAACACAGTGTCTCTAGAGTATGGGCTGAACATGCCATACATGCTTCCCCTCCCTGCCCATTCTGGCCTTGTGTCCTAGCAGCTGAGCAAATGGCATCTCTTTCCCTCCTCCCTGCCYCCTGCCATTCCTGCGTAAAGGGCACGGGGCCTGGCGTGCAATGCTGGCAGCTGGACCTTTCCATGCTACTGTCAAGTTTTCCAGGGCACAAATGAGACAGGAGAGCCAGGAATAACCAGCTGAGCCCCCAGAGGGTCTGGAGCCGGTGGGCCTGACCCAGATCTGCCTTCAGATCCTGTGCCAACATGGGGTGGGCAGGGCCCCAGGTTCCTGGGCCAGGGCTTTGGGGAGGTGCCTGCAGCCACTAGAAGCTCATTATCTGGCATGAATGCCTTTAGAATTAGCCCAGGCTCCACTGTGGCCCAGGTCCATTCTCTATGTGACCTTGGAGAAGTCATTTAACTTCTCAGAGCCTTGGCTCCTACAGGCTAAAGTGGCAGCCTCTTAGGATCCTAGGGATAATAGTGTAAAGAGCCCTGTGCTGAGTTTGGCCATGCCCAGAGGTTCTGCTATTACAAGATCATTTTTATGGCTGGCTAGTCCCAGGGCCAATCACTGGTCTTCTGAATTGAAACTTTTTCCAGACCAGCTAGAGAGGGAGTTCAATTCTAGGCACACAGGACCCATACTGGATAAGGCAGTATATCAGAGTCCTCACCAGGGAGCACAGAGCAGCAGAACTCCTGCCTGAGGGAGATTGGCCCAAGCCTCCTGGGCCAGGGATGGACCCAGAGAGAGGGACTTGGGCTCTTCATAGGGCAAAGGGGAGAAAGGAGGCAAGAACATTGTCATCAACCTGACCGGTCCTCTCTTCCTGATCCCTGGTCGGGGGGGTCTGGGTGCTGGACACCCCTCCCCAGGGGCTATATTAGCTGCGTGAGTCACAGTGGACCTGGCTGGGAGGCCACAGGCGGGCGGGCACAGTGTAGGGTTACAGTCCATTTATGGGCGCAGCAAGGGCAGATATCAGTGTCGATGGCATTCGCTCCCAGCTATTCTTAGGAGCCTCCCAGGAGCTCTGCACAGCCTGTCTAGGCAGCAAGGGGCAGAGCAGGCAAGGCCGGGGACTGGGGGGTCGGGCAGGGCAGAGGCAGAGGTGTGGGCTGGGGAGGTGGGGTGCATGAGTTTCCCCTCAGTTAATACTTTTTACCCTTTGCAGAGGCAGCCACTATCAGCACCAGCATGTCTTACAGTGTGACTCTGACCGGGCCCGGGCCCTGGGGCTTCCGTCTGCAGGGAGGCAAGGACTTCAACATGCCCCTCACTATCTCCAGGGTGAGTGCACACTGCTCATGGCCTGGCACCCCAAGGGGCAAGGCACACTCAGAAGAGGGCACGTATGTACATCTGTCTGTCTGTCCTCCCCAGRCTCTTGGAAAACAGAGCATACCCTATCCCCTGTCTGAGGGTTCCGACAGAACTGATCTCCTAGTCTTGGCCACCAGTGRTGTTTGCCCACCTGAGCCTGTCCCTGAGAATTTGCCCACTAGAGTGTGACATCATGGGCAGGTGTTGGGTGTTTTGAGCAGAGAAGGAAATGCTGAGTTTGCAGGGTGGGCGGGCAGGTGGACAGAGCGTACAGTGCCTTCTCTGGCAGGGCAGGCTCTGGGTGCCCCCAAGYCTAAAGTCCCTCCCTAAAGTCCCAAAGTTTGTAGATGCTTTGGGAAAGAGCATGTAATGGGTGGGTGGATGGATGGATAGACAGACTGCTGCCCCTGCTGCCCTGCTGTTGTGATGTGGAGGCAGGCTTGTTACTGAGTTCCAGCACCAATTCCATTCGAGTCCCTCTTCTCCTGCTACCATGGGCCAGTCAGGGACCCTGCACCAGCTGGATCATGGCTCTAGACCTTCATCCCTCACTGGTCCAGGGCTTGCCTGATCCTCCTGCCTGTCTAGTGTCTCCCCGGCCCCAGATTTACCTGGAGAGATGGCCCCTTGGCCCTGCAGTGTCTGGTAGGCATAGGACAGAACATTGTGGGTTGGGAGGTCCACCACTCTCTTCCAGCTGGAGACACTGAAGCCCAGAGAGGCTAAAACTAGACATATTTGAGAAGAAGGGAGAAGGAAGGACTTTGTTTTAACTGCTACTATGGTCCCACATCTACACTACTATCTGGGACAGAATAGGTTCCCAGTCAATCTTTGTCAGGTAAAGGCACTCCCCAGCAATTCCTGGAAGAGCCAGGGTTGAAAGCCCCAGAGCTCAGGAGGAACAGTGAGGCATGTAAGGGGGCAAAGACAACCCCTGCCTGGTGGGTGGTTGAAACCCTGGCATGAAGGGGCCAGCTGAGGCCCTCCAGGCTGTCATGGGAACATGGTGGGTGGCCAGGTGTATCTGGGCTGCTACTAACCTGGGGGAAAAGGATGTGGTTTATTCCCCCAGGGCAGCAGACTTATCTTGGGCCTAGGAACAACACTGCAGTAGGTAGCCRGGAAGACCCGAAGTTGCTCTGGTAAGGGGCAAAAGTGCAGGGGTCAGTGCCCCCTGAAAGAGTAGTCTTGATTTGAGAACATGGCATGGGCACTTGAGGGACCCTACAAAGGAGAAGCTCCACCCAGGGTAACCTTGGGAGCCTTGGATCTGTACTCCTCGGATGCTGGTCTTGCCCTCTACCCTTCCGCTGGAGATCTGGGTCTCTGCCCCTTTGGGCCTACTATCCTGAAGATCAGAAAGTCTCAGACTGAAAAGACACTCAGAGCCTTGCACACCTACCTCAATGATGTGCTGCCTGAGCCCAGTGGCTAGCCCACCTTAGTCCCTGCACAGTCCACAAACCCCATAGCTGCCCATCTCCTCCCTGTATAAGGTGGACCCTTCCTCTCATTCTCATGAGCCTTCCAACCTCCCCATGCCTGGGACTGAGCCCAAGTCTCTCCCAGTGCCACTACCCTAAAGGCTTGCTGCTAGTTCTCCCTGCCCCATCCTGTGGGTGCATGTTAGCCCCCAGGCTCAGTGGACCCAGGATAGCCAATGACCTCACATAGGACCTATGCACCACCTGGCTCCAGATGGCCAGGGGCTTAAATGGCAACAGAGACCTTAAGCTAGACAGCAAGAGGAATGTCCTCACTCGGGGAGGGGGTGTGTTGGGATGTGCGGGAGCCAATGACTGGGGGGACTTATAAAAATAGAACCCATACAGGACATTGGGAGTTAGGCATGACAGTTTCCTTCTGAGACACACCCCAAATCATCTGGGCCATGGAGCAGGGTAGGCTGGACACTGGGGTCCTCCCCAAGACAGGAAGTCCCTTGGAAAATGCCACTGGTGGGCTGAGGACACCTTGGCCTCAGATATCGAAGGTTCAGTGCTCCTGGCCAGATAGATTCTCTGCACACCAGGGCTGTGAAATTTCCTGCTGGGGTTCACAGGGCCCTTCTGCACCAGGAGCAGCCCCCTCAAAGAGATGCAGTGCCAAAACTCTGGAGGACCCCCACTCCCACCCTAGCCATCATCTGCTTCTCACGACTGGCCAGTGGACACTGCTCATAATCTTGAGCTGAGCTTTTGCCGCAGGGCACCACTGGCAGTCCTGGGGTGGGGAGAACTGGCCAAGTAGAGCATACTCATTCTCAATAGGGACCTGCACCCTCAGGGTACATTCACTGCAATCCAAGGGGTGATCGGGAAGCCAGGGCTGGGATTTCCTCACCTCCCAGCCATCAACCTGAGGCTCACATTTATGCMCAGAAGTGATGGTGGGTGGAATTCCTATGTCTTAGTGGTACCTAACTCCCATGCCTGCTCCCACACCTCTCTGACTATAGAAGCCCCACCCTTTCAATTGCAGACAGGCATTGCAGCTCCTCCTGTAAGGATACCCGCCACCTGCAGGCTAAGTGGTAGCTCCCATTCCCAGCCCTGCCTTGTCCATGGGCCCCACCAAAGCAACCTGAGGCAGTAGCAGCCGTGCCARGCCTCCCTTCTGTGGGTCTTAACAGGGTACTTTTACTAGTGTACAAAGGATGACCCACAGAGAAGGGGGTTCAGGAGGGGACTGGGAGAGTGGAGGGGAAATGCCTTTATTTATCCTGGACAGGTGCGGTAGGGCCTGCAACATGAGCTGCCCTCTCACCCCACCCTCCCCAACCCCAGCCAGTTCTCCAGGAAGTAGGGGAGGGGTGGGAGCAGCCAAGGAGGGAGCAGCTCCAAAGGCCCAGCCCCGCTTTGCCCTAGCAGCTGGCCAGGGGCTGGGGCCACGGTCAKGGCCTTACCTCTTCATGCCTGTTATGCCCCCATTTTTATGAAGGTGCTGTGCTTTTGTTCAGCTCTGCTACTCTCAGCTCTGTCATCATCTGTCCAGCCTCAGTCCTCTTATCTGTAAAATGGGCCCTGCTGCACCRAGACTGTCCCCCTCAAAGAGATGCCAGGCCAGAACTCTCTGGAGGAAGGGACAGTGCTTTCTACTAGGTGTGAGAGTACAAATGTAAGAAAACTTCCCACTTGGCTGGTTGCAAGGCTGGCAGAGTGGCAGGGTGAGCCTGGGTCCAGGCAAGGCCCGCCTCTGCTGGAAGGCCTCCAGCCCCGGGCCTCACCAACYTCACCTGGCAGACACCAGTCCAGCAGCCTCTGCCTTTATGCTGGTTTCGGTTTCAGTATTTATTGGATTCTCCCAGCTGAGGTGGGGACACTGAGAACAGAGGATCCCTGGGGAGACAGATGGGGCCAAGCCAAGACTATTCTGGGGTAGTTGTGCAGGCAATTCCTGGAATTTTGAGGTCGCTGGAGCACGTCTCACTGTCACTCAGGCAGCGCCTAGCAGTGCTGACAGGCCATGCTGTTTATAGCCTCACTGAAGGTCAGGCAAGCCTCRAGACCTCCAGCGATCCATCTATCAAACAGGGGAAGATAAGTGAAGACCGCAGAGTCAGAGCTGGGAATGAATTCTTAGAGACACCCTCTCCCCAGACCAGGCCTTCCCTGCTATCTCTGACCCCTTGACAGCTCTGAAGGAAGTGGACAGAAAGCTGGCTAGATCCTAGGGAGGGGACCTTCAGACACCTCTGGACCACAGCAAGGGCAACTGCATGGGCAGTCCCAGGAAGCCTGGGTTAAAGGCATTGGGAGGCAGCAGGTGTGAGGAGGACAGAGCCCCAAGTGGACATCCCTCTAGCCTGGGGACCGAGGTCCCCCCAGTTTCCTGAGTTTCCTTCCCTTTCTGAATGACTTCCTCCCGTTCAGRGGCTGCCCCTGATTGCAGCTTCCCCTTGGGCCCCACCTCCAGTCCTCTAATTGCCAAACACAGCTTTCTCCATCCGAAGAGGCATGAAATTGACTTTGCTGGGAGACCCTGAGAGCCAAGTGCAGAGGAGAGCATTTTACTGGCCATACCCAGGACGTAAACAGAACCATAGGCCTGGACAGGAGGAGAGGAGAGGGACAGTGGCTGGGTCTGGAGAGGCAGGGGAGGGCGTGGTCAGCTAGAGAGGAGCAATGACCCCACCCACCTGGCTTGAACATAGGTGGGCTGTCGTTATATGTGGCTGGATGGGGGCCAAAGCTGGATGGCAGAGTGTGAGAGGGGTGGGAGTAATGGGTCTGGAGGTGACAAAGGGAGAGAAACGAGACAGGATCCAATTAGAACAAACAAGGCAGGACACAGAAGAAATTTTGACTTATTTATTGGCCGAGGTGGGACTGGAGAGTGGGGGCTGTGGGGAGACAGAGGTTCCAGAGAGAGGATGAGGGCTGGGGCAGGGCCCCAGGGGAGGCCAGATGGGAAGGGAGCAAGCATGGCACAGTGGTAATTTAATCGCACAATGTGAAAAATGTTAAAATGTACCCAGGGATTCAGGGGGAAATCCCGGGGAAGGGTTGGGAGGAGGAGCGATGGAAGTTGTACTCTCCTAAGGCTTTACTACCTGCCCCTGGACCCTACCCTGCCACACCTGGCAAATCCAGAAGAGACGGAAGGCAGGAGCCTGCCTGCTGCTGAGGACCAAGACTGATGGCTGGAAACTTGTACAGAGCCCAACTGCCAGCCGGGAGGCTGCCAGCTGYTGTCCCTGTTGCCAGGGTGCTGGGGGATTAGGAAGCCACAGCCTGGTGTTCTGGAGTCCCTACTGGCACCTTACTTCCTTGGGACCTTGGATAGAATTCCCCTGACCCGGGCCCCTGTAAGGACAGCAGTTGGCTCAGTACTGGTCACGTGGGGCTGACCTCTTGCCTCCCACCCTCTGCCAGCGCTGGATCTTGTTTCCTGTGGAGCCTGGGGATAAGGCCGGCGACTTCAGTCCTTCTGGCACCTCTGGGGGTGGGGGGGGGGAGGGGACAGGGTCAGCACTCACACTTTTCTTGGTTTGGAGCTTTTCTGGAACTTTCTCAGCTCTGCACCATCCTTACATAATTCCCTGTTTAATAATGTAGTCCTTACAATCATCCTGAGGGATGTCACACTCTCTCGACGGGATACTTGAGGGAAGCTCATTCCAAAGTCCATGCTCTTTCTTTTGCTGCCTCCCTTGTAGGTACATGCAGGTGACCCTGGTACCAGCTATTCTTGTGCCACCCTCTGGTGGGCCCTAAGACCACAGCCCAGCAAGATAGAAGGGCTCCTRTGAGCCAGGTGGCTGAACTTGGCCTCCAAATATCCAAATACCCAGAGCTTGTCATCTGTGCTCCCACCTGGGGGTCTCTGGGATCTGCTCAGGGTTGGGGGTCCCTGTTGAGAGGTGTCTGTCAACTGAAGAAAACTAAAAAGCAAGGTGGGAATAAACTACTCATTTCAGAGAGGAATTTAAATGCCCAAAATGGAGTAGGAAGATTTTTTTTTTTTAAGAAAAAATAAAGAAGAAACCCTTCCAAGAATTTGGGAGCTTTGAGTCTTTTCTGGTACAAAGTCAATCCAGAGAGAGGGATGGAGAGTCAGATAAAAGATGCACAGACATATCATGCTGGACTATACTTTTCACGAGCCCAGGGCTCTGGCAGTGCACAAGGGTCCAAGGGTGCCATTTCTCTTTCCCAGCCAGGGCARTCTGCTCCTGGGTTTAGGGTAAAGGACCTGATGGCCCTTGGCTGCCTTTGGGGTTCCTGCCTCCATCCTGCCTTCTCTAAGGGCACTTGGGCCGAACAGAAGAGCACCTCCCTATAAGAGTATATCTGCAYCCCACCCAACCCTGAGGGACATTTGACTCTGCTTGGGGCAGCCRAAGTCTAGGCCAGCTGTGCCCTGATGAGCAGACACAGGTGCAGGGAGAGAGGCGCCAAGGGCAGACTGGAGCCAGCTCATAGCTCCCCGCCAGGGTATATGGCTACTGACCTGGCTCCAGGGAGGCTGAGCTCTCCTCAGGAACAAGGATCACCCCAGCTCATACCTGAGGATGAGGAGGAGCTAGGCAGGACCCAAAGGGAAGGACTGGCATGAGCTGGCCTATCCCTGAGAGAGAAAGATGTCACCAAAGCAACTCTGAAAGAAGGGMATTCCAGCTGGTCTGCAGCTGGCCCTAGCTGATAGGGCCCAACCTCCTTTGGATATCATTCTGGTGCCCTTGATCACAYTCGCATGATCTTCTGGATGCTCCCATCCTGCCTGGCACTGTCCCTTCTGTGGTTGCAGGTCCTGTCCTTTTGTGTGGGATTTGCAGCTGTGTATTTCCCCTYCCCCAGATTTCTGCTGCCAGAGACAACCCCTTTTCTGTAGATGGTAAGAAGCATCTGGGTGTATCATCCTATAAAGTTGTCTTGCTGTGGAGCGGACATGATGGGAGTTACCTACTATGGGGAGCCAYACCATGAGGTAACAAGCAGTAGGTAATAAGCATGGGGACAAGCATGACAGGTATCTTCCTGCTCAGGTGTGACCTGCTCTGGGGGAGCCTTGTGGGTAATCCACTAGGAACAGTATAGTAGTTGCAAAAATCACCTTGAATAAAAGCACATAGTRTTTGTAACTTCTTTGAAATGCCTCTGAAATAAGGATTGGAGGATGGATAGATAGCAGGATAGATGTGTGGTAAAGCAAGATGAATGAAATATTATCCCATAACTATGGTGGTGGGTATTTCAGTGTTCACTGTAGAATTTTTTCAACTTTTTCCATGTTGGAAAAAGGGTCTATAATGAATTGTTGGGGATGGCAGAGCCCTGCACAGGAAGCCAGAAGGCAAGTGGATTTTCTTCAGGACAGCCTGGTGGGGYGAGGCAGTTCTGTGTCTTCATGAGTCCCCTCTTGGTCTAGGAAAATATTTAGGTTTTGTTCAGTATTGTTGGYTAACTGCCCCTCTCCAAGGCAGCAACACACTCCTATCATTAGAAGAGGATCCACATAGCAACAAATTTAGGGAGAAGAGTGTATTTGGAGAAATCCCAAGTAGTTCTATAGGGCATCTGCCCCTGTGGAGTCTGGAGATTGAACTGGGCTTTCTGGAAATCTAGGCATTTGTTTCTCTATTGTCCTTTTTTTTTTTTTTTTTTTAGCCTGAAGATTCAGGGGTTGAAGGAGGGGTATTCTGCATACAATATGACTAGTATTTAAGAAGACACCCAGGGCTGCAAAGGCAGGTTTTTGCTGTCATCACTTGCATTGTGTAGGCAGTGTTTCTGAGATGGTGCTGTGATTACCCAAAAGCCATTCAGTTTCTGGGTGCACCCTGTAGAGTCCATCTGGGAGTGGCCTGGAGATAGGTGACTGCGGGCACCCTGATTTAAATGGGGTTCCCTGTGAGGGGCCTGGAAGGAGGCCTCTATCCATGTCTGTGAGCCCAGGACCTACCTGGAGGCCCATCCAGGCTTGGCACATGGGACACAGGACTGTCCCCAAGTCCTCTCTGGGCTCCTTCTAGGATGATCCCCAGTCCTTAGCCAGAATCTGTTTTTTGCCAACATTAGGAGCTGGCCTTGTCCCTGGATCATAGCCAAGAAGGTGACTAGGATGTGCCCAGAGAAGCCAAGAGTACTAGCTGGTGGGTGTGTACAGGGGGCAAAGCCAAGGGACACCCTTCAGCCATAGYCAGAGTCAGGGTGGGAAGGCAGAGCCTCCTATTTCCTGTGATATCATTGGAGATGGGGTCTACCTGGCATTCCACAGATGTCATAAGTAGGGGCCTCTTGCATGGTGTCTTGGGGTCAAGTCCTAAAGTCATTCTATGTGGTATCAGCAGGGGCTGGACATTCAATGGGAAATCTCAGGAAATGAAGCTAAAGTCTCCATGACATCCGATAAATCATCTTTGGGATAGGGCTGTCACTAAGGGCAGTTTATCACACCATTTTAAGTGGTGTCACCAGGTACTTTGAACATCACTGTGGGTGGGGCCTCCATGGCATTCAGGGTGACATTACTTGGAGCCAGGCAGGCAAAATTTTGCATTGGGCATGATGCCTTCGAGAGCACAGTCTGAGCCACCCTGGCATACCAAGTAATATCCCACGGGGCCTGCCTTCCTGATGACCCATGGGGTGGTTCCTCTGATAGGATCTCAATGGTATTCTCTGAGGTTACACTGGAGATGGAACCTCTAGACTCTGCCCTGTTTCCCAGCCAATTTTGCTCACCTAGGCAGGGTGGATGGCTCCCTCGGCCCTCTATACACCTGCCATGGTAGCATGAAGCCCCTGGCATTAGGATGCTTTTGAGTAGGTGCATTTATCCTGCCCCTTGGCCTGTCAGTGTCTTTGGGATGGGGAGTGCTGAGTTTCTACTCCTAGGTCTCCCTTCCCGCCTGGGACCTGGAAAGTGCTRGGCTCTTAGAGTACAAGGGTAATAGTAGGCTAACTAATGTAACAAATGAACACCAAATCTCAATAGCTCAGCACAATGAAAGTCTATTAGAGCTTGTGATGTGGGCTCCTTAACCATCTCTCCTCCAGGCAGGGACTCCAGGATCCAGGCCTCTTCCAGTTAGCAGCCTGGTTGTGCTCCTCGCCATCCTTTGCACTTAGCCAACAAACAGTGTGCAGGATCACAAGGATGACTGCAGGGTAGACCTGGAAGTGACATGCATTACTTACCCCCTCATTCCACTGACCAGAGTTAGTGGAATGAGGGGGTATAATTGGATACAAAGCACTAGGAAACATGGTAGCCGTGTGCCAGGCAGAGGAAGCAGGCTTGGGGAGCAGCAGGTACGAACACAGTGAATGAAAGACAACACAATGGGTCTCTACTGGATGGTCCATAGGCCTCCTCCCTAAGGACTGGCCCACCCTTAGGACCAGCCTCCTTATGCTCATCCCTCTTCTGTTGTCCAATCAGATCACACCAGGTAGCAAGGCAGCCCAGTCCCAGCTCAGCCAAGGTGACCTTGTGGTGGCCATCGATGGCGTCAACACAGACACTATGACCCACCTGGAAGCCCAGAACAAGATCAAGGCTGCCAGCTACAACCTGAGCCTCACCCTGCAGAAGTAAGTGGAATCTCTTCAGAGCACGGGCAGATGTTTGAGAGTGGACATTGGGTRGGTACAAAAGAGGGGTTGTCCCTAACAATTGCATGGGCTATAAAAAAAACTGTGCTATGAAAAAACTAGTCCAAGTCACTGTCAAGATGTTACTGCCTCACTTTACACATGAGGCTCAGAGACAGTAGCAACAGTACTGCCAGTATGGGACCTAGAAACCAGGATCTTCCCTGCTTTTTGGTCCAGGCAGCCTCCCAAGGACATAGCAGGGGCCCATGGTACTGATCAGAGTGCCCAAGGTCTACAACTTCTCCATTCTGGTCGGGTCAAGAACCTTTCCCGGGGAGACCCAGCCATTGGTTGGACAGTGAACCTCAGGCCCTCTAACCTGACTGCCTAGCTGTCTCTTGGTGTCCCTTGTAGCCTTGCCCAGGCAGAAGATCCTGGACCCAGGGGCAACTGTCCTCACTTGTTCCCATTTCTGGTTTCTCCAGGTCAAAGCGTCCTGTTGCCATCTCCACAACTGCACCCCCCGTCCAGTCCCCTCTGCCGGTGATCCCTCACCAGAAGGTAGGTGCAGACTGTCGCAGTGAGGTCCACTTTCAGCTGTGGCTCCTGCCTGCCCCTGCCCTGCCATTAATGAATCTCAGGAGAGGCATTCAGGCCYTCCATGAAGTACTGAGATGTAGGGTACTGCCTGGTGCTAGCTACCATCCCAGGTCCCCCTGGCTGTGCTGATAGGAAGCCAGCTTGGGCAATAGTGTTCTAGAAGATAGAAGCAAGATGTCCAAGAACACTAGGGCTGGGAGTGACCATGGCAGAAGCTTCAGCTTGTGTCAATCAACCGAGGAGRCACTCCCAGGCATGAAGGAGCCTACTGGCCCTCAGGACTTCTCCTCCACACGGCTCTCTCTTCCTCTAGTTCCAACTTGCCCACCTTCCGGTCAGAAAAACTGGTTGTTGCCTTAGAGGCAGGCAGATCAGGTGATGAAGGATGGAGAGCCCTGGCCCCAGACCTCACCATTGTGCTCAGGGTTTTTCCAAAACTCCCTCTAAGCAGTTCAGCCCCGTGGGTCCAAGGGGCCTGACCCAAAGCTAGGAAGGCCCAGCCTAAGGTTCCTGCAGCCTGCTCTATTGGAGCAGATTGGGCCGTGGTGGAGGTGGGCAGGGAAGACAGAGGAGAAGAGGCATACAGGGGTTGAGATAAATCGCAGATTGGGGAAGTGGGCAGAGAGCTGTTTGAGAGAAGTTGCAGAAGTGGACTAAAAAGACTAAATAGGCCACCTACTTCCTTACCTGCCCTTTTGGCACTCCCACCTGGCCTGCCCTGAGGATCCCATCTCCCTGGTCATGAGAGGGGCAGGGTGGTTCTCAGTGTGATGTGTTTCCACAGTATGCCCCTCTCAGGAGAAGAGAGAACACCAACAGGATGGAGGGGACCCCTACTTACTATCCCCTGGCCCCACACCACTTCCTTGGGCCCCAGAGATAGGTTTGGCTTTCTGTGCAGGGCTTTGCATTTGTGTCCAGGTGGATGCCAGTCTGCAGGCTAGGAGTTGTGGGCCTCCCCCACTCCTCTAGACAAAACCCTTCCGCACCAGTGTCCCATCTGGGTGCTCCAGGCAGCGGGCTGCAGGTGGCAGGTGGCAGGCTGCAGGGTGCTTGCACTAACTCGCCCATTTCAAGTCTATGCAGAAGCACTGCACATGCGTGGCCTCTAACCACTCTCTTCTCTCTCCCCTGCATGGTGCTGCCCTGTGTCAGGACCCTGCTCAGGACACGAACGGCAGCCTGGCGGCACCAAGCCCCAACCCTGAGGCAAGGGCCAGCTTGGGCACCCCAAGCACCCTGGAGCTCAGGGGCACCTTTAGCTCCTCCTTCTCCCAGACCTCCATCTGCTCCTCTCACACGGAGGCCTCGGACCTCGGCCCTCCACGGGACAGCCCAGGGGCCAAGGCCATCCCTGAGGGGGCCCGGGACCCACTCAGCCTGAAAGTCCTGCCAGGTCCGAGCCAGCCAAGGCAGTATAACAACCCCATTGGCCTGTATTCAGCAGAGACCCTGAGGGAGATGGCTCAGATGTATCAGATGAGCCTCCGAGGGAAGGCCTCAGGTGCTGGACTCCTAGGAGGGTAGGTAATGAATGCACAGCTCTCCACTGGTGGTCTGGGGCCACCTGGGGCCACCTGGGTCCTCGGTGCTCAGCAGAGGACTGAGCAGGTGATTGGAGAGAAGTAGCTTCAATCCAGCCATCCTATGCCCATGAGGCAGCACTGGAGGGCAATGCAAGCAAAGACACTGTTGACGTTTGCCGTGAGCTGGGCACATCAATGCTTTATATATCTACCTGGGGGGTGACATGCAGGCTTTTTGCAGAAGAAACTGAGGCTCCAGAGAAGATTAAGTTGAGGTCCAGTTGCCTTGTTACTAAGGCACCCAGTCAGGCCTATATACATGAGACTTCAATTTCCCAAATTTTCATAGCAGGACACATCCCTCCTCATGGGACTGGACAGCCTGCTGCCTTCAGGAGCCACACACACTCCAGGAACCCTGAGRCAGGAACAGGGAAGAGTTCCAGGTGGAGGGCCAATTCCCTAGGACTGGGGAGTCTTCTGGGAAGGCTGCCTGGGGGAGGGAGCCCAGGAGCTGACAGTGGAGAGACTGGCAAGGATGTGAGGGGAGAGGGATTGCAGGGACCCTGGTCAGGTTGGGCAGGCCCCCCATGGTCTAGTTGGTGAGACTCTGAGCTTAGGAGTTAGGGGAACATGGATCTGGGGCTTCTTGGAGGAGGCTGAAGGAAGGAAGGCCTCTCGTGGCCCGTTCTAGTGTCCAGGCCCTTCTCGTCTGTTGTTTCATAGTAGCTTCCATTTCCACCCTGTGCAATGCCTCTGGTTATCTCTGGGTGCAACAGGCAGGGCAGGCTGTGAGGGCAAGGTAGCCTGTAGGGGGTTCTGTGGGAGGAATCACACTGTCCACATCTCGGGGTTATTGGGAAGGTAAAGGGGACAACACATGAAAAGCACTGAGTTCTGCCCTGTCACACACTTACCACACGGTGCCCATTGCCTGGAGTTACACGGTTGGTACCCAGAAGAGTTAAAACAAGAATCTGGTCAGTCTAACCCCAGCCTCGCCCTTCACATTGCCCTTGCTGTGCCCCATCAGCTCCGTGTTCCTCTGGACCTCCCAATTTCCCAGCTCTTTCTAGGCCCTGAGAGAATGTGGCCCCTGGCATGCCATGGCTTCCTTGAGCCAAAGTGGCAGAGCCGGGTGGACCAGCACCTCCCCCTCTTCACCCTCAATGGCTTCCCTGGCAAGGGATTTTTGCCAGAAAACTCTGAAAATGTCAGATCAGAGATGACCACCTTATCCTGCCTTTGCTGGACTGGTAGGCCTTCCTGATCCTTTCTGGACTTGCCCCAGGCAGGAAGGCTGGACTCTGGTGGACTAGGTTGCCTGGGAAGCCCACCTGCCGTGGTGATCATGTCTCCCCTTGACTGAGCTTTGACTCTGGGCTGGGAGGCTGGCTTAATCTCTCAGTAACTTCAGAGGTGGGCATTGTTTCCCCTCAACCTACAGCCGTGAAAACAGAGGCTCAGAGAATAAATAGTTTGCCCCAGATCCCACAGCTAGTAAGTGGCACACACACTGGCATCTGGGTCTGCCTGACTCCATCTTGCTTTGAGATAGGTTATCTACTGCCCAGAAAGTCAGAGGCCAGCTCCAACCCCTACTTCTTTTGACTCCCCAGGTGCCATTCCGTTGGCACAAGGGCTGCCTAGAACCTGACAAAAGTGTCAACCAGAGACAACCAGAGAGGCAGGATCCAACAGGTTCCTCCAAGGGAAGATGAGCCAGGAGAGGGRGGGAGTTTGGTGCTTCATCTAGACTAAAAACGAATGCTACTGTTCCAGGAATGAGAACAGGAAGGGCTGGAGCCTCTGCTAGGCCAAGGCCACTACCTTTGATGAGTGTCTAACTGCTTGTAAGCAACAAGGTTAGCAAATGCTGATCTCTACATCCCTCCATTGCACATTTAGCCTAGGCTGGGGGCTTTGGACAGGATCCTGTTCACTGGAATAGCCCATCTGTGTGGGGGGTACCACCATCTCCATTTTATGATGAGAAGACAGAGGCTGAGAAGGGTGGGTAACTTGCCTGGAGTCCCAGTGCTAGGAGGTAGGGTCAGGATTCAATCTCTGATCTGTCTGGCTCCAAAAGGAAGCCCCTCCCTGGCTCTCTCCTCTAGACAGCTTATATCTCCTTGGAGGGGTGAGAGGAATGGATGTAATGCAAGGGTAGGCAGGCCTGAGCATCCCTGCGACCTGCTTCTCATCCTGTCTGAGGCTGGCATTGAAGGGCAGTGTTCCTCAGGCCACTCAGTACAAAGTACCTTAGACAGGTGTAGCATCTTGGCAACAAGACCTGGGCACTGGCTCCTCACCACGTCTGCTGTAGGCACCCCAGCCTGGGGTCTTCAGCAGGGGGAGGAATCAATGCCAAAGAAGGTGCTGGCTGACACCCTGCCAGGCCAACACTGTCCTCTGCAAGGGACACTGGGCTGGTTAGGGCAAGGGCTGACCCTGCAGCTGTCAGCACTGGCCAAACATGGAGAAGGAATGGAAGTTCCATGCTGGCCCTTTCCTAATATAGATCTACTTGTGGCTATTTTGAGCCTGGGAGGACAGAGAGAATTTTATCAGCTCTGAGACAGGGTGGGCCTGGAGCTGAGCAGAGCCACCATGAAGTTCCCTGGAGTGGGGTCCTGGCTACAAGGAGACCAGGGCCAGGCCACTTGGAGCCAAATTTTCTCCAGTCAGAGCCCAACAGTGGGCTGATCAGGCAGGTGGTAGAGTTTGGAGACAGAGCCCACTGCCCTCTACTCTTTCTGTATCAGGTTTCAGACAGGGCTACTGGCCACAGGGCTGCCACCATAGGTAATTTGTATTTAAAGAATCATGATATAGACAGTGCTCCCCAAAGAGATCAGGCTTTAGGAGACTGGCTCTCATATCAGAGCAAGGGGCAGGGTCCCTCTCTGGTATCCAARCTGGGCTGCCCAGCTTTGGCCTTTCCTGTAGCAAGCTTGGGACTCACACTCTTCCTGGGCCTCCTCATCACCTCCTTGCTGTGGCATGCCCCTCCTCTGGAAAGAGGAAAGTGTTCCAAGTATCCCCTCACCCCACACAGCCCCACGGCAATGCCTGCTCAGGGAGTGGAACTACTGAGTTGCCCCCATGAAACAGAGCTAAGTCCAGAGCTACTGTCTAGGAGGAGGTGGGTGGGGATTTGGTTCTTCTTCACGCAGCCCTGTTGATCCTTTCTCCATCCCCAGATTCCTCTCTGGGGTCTACAGCCAGGCTGTATGTGGGGGATTCTTGTACAAGGTACAAATGCCCATGAGATGAACAAGAAAACCCTTCTCCTAGCAAAGCTGAGGGCATGGAAGCCCACCATGGAGGGAATACTGCTGTGTTGATATCTCCAATCCAAACCGAGGGTCGTGGAGGCCGTGGTCCCTGATCCTGAGCGCGCTCTCTCCTTTTCACTCCTTACTCTCTTCACACAGTACGGTTGGGCCATCCATCTATCATGGCCAGTGTGCAGGCGGTCCTAGTGTTCTAGCTCCCCCTGCAGGAGCCTCATTCTGACGGTGCTGTCTTCTTTGCCCTTTCTCTCTTCCCCAGGTGGTAGCCAACTCTCCAGCCAAGTTAGTATCCAAGGAAAGCATGTGTGTGCACTTGTGTGCCATCTCAGCATGGCTCTGTGTGTCTGTCAGGTGTGGATAGCCTGTGCCTATCCGCATGTGTATGTGCGTGCATGTGTGAGTAGGGGTGCTTTTGTGCCCTGGGTAAGCCTGCATGGGTGTGAAGCTAGAGGATGGAGTGAAGGCGTTGCAGGGGGGAGGGGGGTCTGTATCTAGTGGTTCCAATTTTATTACCAATTTCCTGCTCCAACTGCTTAAACCCTGCAAGCTAGCTCTGGTAGGTGGGTGGGTGGGGTGCTGCACTGTCTCCAGGGTCTGCGTGAGCCTGAAGATCTCTGTTCCAGTGGGACCCTTGAGGACTGCACCTGGTCTTGTCTTTGCCTGGGGAGGGATGGGTGGAGKCACCTATCTGCTGGAAGGCAGAGCCCCAGATGGGTAGAAGCTGGTGAGCCACACAGACACCTGGACTGGACAGGCCTGGGAAGCCTAAGTTCTGCTCCAAGAAAGACACACGGACAGAAGCATCTGAAAGAACACAGCCTCCGACTACAGAAAGATTGCCAACAGAATGAATCCCTTCTCGGAGAAACTTTGCTCACAATCCCTGTGGGGACCCTGTGTGGCTATTTTTCGCCTTTGGGATGCTCTGAACTCAGCTTGCAATGTTGCTGCCTCTCTCATGCGGCCCAGCTCCTGTCCCCTCTCTTGAACCCCATTCCCCTAACCTTTTTTTTTTTTTTATCTCTGCTTCTCTGGCTGTGTGTGGTGGGAGATCTCTCCATGCCTGGAGCCCCCAGCATCAGTTAGTTCAGACTGAGCCAGAGCCTGCTGGGGATTTGGGGGAGCTGACATAGACAAGAAAAACCTTCTGCACAAGGTTTTGGGGGAGGTGCTGAGGATTTTCCTGACCAGACTCTGCCAGCCCACAGTGGGAGATCTCGGGGTCAGGCCTGGGCTTTGGGACATCTGCTTGGGGTCAGGCCTGGGCTTTGGGAGATCTCTCTCAACACTCACCACCACCAGGCCTGGCCTTGACCTGTAGTTTAACTTCCACCTGTTGCCCTTTTCTCCTTCCCCTTCTCTCCTCCATCCCTACCCTGCTTCTCATGTGCCCCTTCCCCAGCGCCGACTACCAGGAACGCTTCAACCCCAGTGCTCTGAAGGACTCGGCCCTGTCCACTCACAAGCCCATTGAGGTGAAGGGGCTGGGTGGCAAGGCCACCATCATCCATGCACAGTACAACACGCCCATCAGCATGTACTCCCAGGATGCCATCATGGACGCCATTGCTGGGCAGGCCCAAGCCCAGGGCAGTGACTTCAGTGGGTAAGCGCCTTCCCCACTCTCTTCGCCTGCAGAAGCCACCAGGCACCATCAGGACCAGCTTTCACACTTCACCTTCCTCTTGGGGCACAGGCCCTTGAAAGGAAGCCAGCTTGTGCCAGGGCCTTCCAGAACAGGGTCTCTTCAGAACCTCTTTCTCATGGTCAACTTCAGGAGAAGGGTGGAGAAATGCAAAATGTGGTGGTTCCTTTGCATTTTCCAGGTTCCATGAGGAGGTTGGTTTAGGAAAAAAAGTCTTCTACAAAACTCTCAAAGCCGCACTCAAGACCCACCCCCCACCCCCAGCCTCCCAGGACCAAGCTGTTCTTGGGGGTGAGGGTGAAGTTGCTTTATTCTTCCAGCCATGAGAGATCCAAATACAGGATGGGCTTCCTATTGGGAAGTGGCTTCCAAACAGTCATTCAAGGTTGCTGTTGGCAGTAGTTCCCATTGGTGGTCACCTCCCTTCTCCTTTTTGCCTCAAGGCAGTAGAATTGAAGACTTTCATCCTCTTAGCTGTGATTGGGGAACTTGAGGATGAACTAGGAAGTACAGCTGGCTGAAACCCTTTTGTAGATGAAACTGCTCACAGTGCAAACATTAACAGGGCTTCTCTCTCTCTCTCTCTCTCTCTCTCTCTCTCTCTCTCTCTCTCTCTCTCCCTTTCTCTCTTTCATGCTTTGTCCATTGAGTATCTCTCTTCCTGTCCTCCTCTGTCTCCCTCTATATATCTCTTTATCTGCCTATGTGTCTCTTTCTCTCTCTCTCACATCTCTTTCTTACATTCACACACACACACACACACACACACACACACACTTCCTTATTGTTTTCTGCTTGGGAATATCATGTGTTGACTTACAGAACTGGCTGATTATGTCTTTAGGTAACATCTCATCTCTGGATCAGGGGTCCTGAGCAATTAAGGGCAAAAAGTCTTGAGGTAACTGTTGAAACATTCTTCTGAAAAGAGGAAATCAGATGTTATAAGATGGGTTAAAAATCTCCAGAGAGGTCCTACAGGGCTTGCCCTTTCCAGAGCCTAGCCTTTGATGTGCATGTAGTTTATGAGGGGTAGATCAGGAGACCAGAGGATGAAATGTAAAGGTGGGGTGTGGATTTCCTGGGCTCTTGCTTCCTGGGGAGCCTAGTGCCCTCTTGGAAACGCAGTAGTTACTTTCGACCACCAGGGGGCGGACGTTGCCTGCTCTGCAGCCGCAGATCTCAAACCCACAAGGCTCAGGGCTGACTCTGCACCGTGCTGATTTATTTAAATCCATCATTCAAAGCAGAAAATATGAGCCTGCAAGTTTAAAAACACAACCATTAGCTCATGCGTACCCAGAAAAAAAAAAAAACAGGCTGCCTGAATAAGTCCAAGAGCCACCAGGGATTTCCTGTTAACATTTGTTTGCCACATGGTTCTTGGTGTGCTCTTTTAAAGTGGTTTCAGTCACTAAAGACAAGTTTGGTGGAAAATAWTGAAAGAAATGCTCTTCACCAACTTAAATTTTTTTGCACCTTGGGAAGAATGATGTCTTTTGGTTTTACAATGAGGGTTCCACGTTTTTTGTTTTTTTTGTTTTTTTTTTTTTTTTAATATGATGCCGTGTTGATTAACTTCTTGAAGGATCTACCCCATCTCTGTCCCCTTCGCAACCCTCCCCTTCCTTTTCCTTGCGTGCTGGGAAAGGATCATCCTCTTCCCTTTCTTTTAACTCAGCCATGCTGGGTTAATGCTGGCGAGGCGCCAGTGGATAACCCTCCTGGCCAGAATGTTCTCCCGTTTCTGCTGTTAATTTCCATGATTCCTTCCTCACTGACCGTTTTCTTTTTCTCTCTTTCTTCCTCCTTTACCCATCCCACTCCCCTAACTCATTTCTGATCCTAACCCTGCTCTCTGTGTGCGCTGCCCCTCTGCCATCCCATGATGGACGCACACTCACGGCTGGGTTTACCTCTGCTTGGCAGGGCGTCGCCGCTGGCGTAAGTAGATCCCGCAGTGTTTGTCCCGTCCTCCGTCGTCTGTCTGGTTGCAGGATGGTGTGTGGGTCTGGTGGGATGTGTCTGAGGACCAGTGGTCAGTCCATATGTTCTGTCCACGTTCTTCCTCACAACCACCTCGCAGCCAAACAACATCCCCTGCAGCCTATACCAGCAAATGTTTGTTTTAGGGGGGTTGCCCCCCAAAAACATCAACATGGCTATTGAAATCCAAAGTAGTGACACACTGCGCCCACCACCACCCCCCCTCCCCGAGCCTGAGGCTGCATCCTTGTGTTTTCCTGGCCATGCTTTGAAGATGCTTTCCCCACCCTTTCCTATATGCACTGGCACCACATGTTCCTGGAGGTCTGAATCCATACCAGACCATTATTCAGGGACAGAAAATGGCAGAGAAGCCTCTTGAAGACCATTCTCCAGAACCCTAATGAGAGATAGATCTGTAAAGACCGGGAGGTCAGGAGAGAGGTGAAAACTGAGTCAGATTTGGAAGCAGTGCACAGTGGGGTAAATGCCAGAGGTGACTTTGACCTTGTGGTGACTGGAATCTTTTCTGTGACAAGAAGCACAAGCAGGGAGTGGCCCAGAGTGTCTGGACTGCAGGGCCTTGTTCCATCCTCCCTCTGCTTTTTTTTTTCTGAGCTTCAGCGTCCTGACAGGCACAGGGATTCCCTCATCAGACTCCCAATCTCTGTTACAGCAGTGACAAGAAGAATCCTGGGTCTTTGCACAGTTTGGTGGGAAAGGAAGCCAGCAAGGTAGAAATCTGAACAAATCATTTCTGGTAGCATTCTTAAGCCCCTGGAGCCAGGGAAGGCACAGGAAARCTCCTCATGGACACATTGCAGGGACACAGCAGCAAACACCTTTTATCTGCTTTCTGGATTGCGGAGCCCCATTGAGACAGGCTCAAGGGTAGGGCTCAGGGTTTGATCCTACACCTTCCCTCCATAGATTGTGATAATCTATACCCTCCCTTCTGTCTCCTCCTAGTCAACCAGGAGCCAGAACCAAGGGATCTGGTTGTTCTTTCCTTTTACTCATCTCACTCACTTGGGATCCTTCCTGTGCTGGGTGGAAATGACTTCCCCCAGCATGAATGAGATCCTGCACTCTCTTCTTCTTCTTAGGTAGCCACAGCTCCTCCCTGGCTGGACCTCTGAGAAATTTGCTGGTCTTCCCCATCCAGTCTCAACCTCAGGATGATAGTACTCCTAGTTCCTCAGGCCAGGGCAGAACCTTTAGGAAATGAGGGGCAGCTCCACCTACTCCTGACCACCATTTTTCATCTCTGCTAACCCACCCTGACCAAGACTCAGGAGATCAATCCTGAGAGACTAGGCCAATTCTCCGTCTAGCTCCTTGCACAGAGGGTAGAAGACATAAGCACAGGAGATCCTCTCTCAGGGGCAGGTGGAGACAAGAGGAGGGTGCTGGACAGGGCATGTCTGGGCTGGACTGTGTCTCCATTTGGTAAAAACATTGTTCTGTGCAGGCCTGCTGAGCAGACGTGGCCTTCCTGAACTTCTGTGACTATGGAGGGCCTGATAGAGAGAACACTGGGCTGGGAGCATGAGGTTTAAGTTCTGGCTCAGTGGGGCCCCTATCTACTACAATCTGGAGCTAGTAATCTGACCTCTCTGGACCTCAGTTTCAGAATCTGTAAAAAGAGGGGGCTGGGCTAGCAGAATGTTGTTACTGTTGGCTTCATTTGGGGCCACGCTGATCTCTGAGAAGATGGGCTGGGCAGCAAGAATCCTTTGGGCCACTGGCCGGGGTCATTGGGCACTACAAAGCGTGGCATCATCACTTACCCTATGGTGGAATATAGACAAGGAGGTTCTGGACCTGAGGGGCTCTGGGGTCCTTTCTGAGTCGGATCTAGGGTGTGTTCATTCACTAAACAGTTTGAGCACCTACTGTAGGTGAGATCTTGGGAGTCCAAGGGAAGGTCATCAGGTCCCCCTGGAAAGGCTGTGCTGCCCTGGGGCAGAGGGTCCACGGTCCTCCTTGCAGCTCTACTCCCAATCTCCCTGCGGCCCCAGTCATACACCCTGCAGGTCAGGTCATGCTGCTTGGTTTTTCACTCCTCCTTCAAAGTAGGCCTCCTTGTCCTCTTCCAGGGCAGCACAGCACCAGCAGATCCCCATAGTATCTAAAGGTGTGAGAAGTGCAGAGGATGGACCCGGAGGAGACCTCTAGGTCCCCCCAAAAGCCTATCCTCACCCTATCCCTCCCTGGGCCCGCTCAGAGAGGTCAAAATCACTTTAAGAAAATCTTTTCTGTTTTTTCCTTCCTCAAAAAGCATCCAATGATTGGGGTGGGGTAGAACATCTTCTGCCACTGGGGAGGAGCAGACAGGTGGGGTATGAGCCTTCTGACATCCCCTCCATGGGCAAGAGAAGTCCCTGCCTCATGGGGACCACCCCGAGCACCGAGGACCCAGGCCACATCCACATCTCAGGTTCTCAGATAGTAGTGGGTGAAGGTGTGGTGGGTGCACCAAGGGGTACCAGGAAGGGAGGGAGAGGATATGGGAGGGAGGACTCCAGGGAGCCCCAGTTCTTGCCCAGCCTCCACCCACACTTCTTTCTGCACTGCAGGAGCCTTCCTGTGAAAGACCTTGCTGTGGACAGCGCCTCTCCAGTATACCAGGCTGTGATTAAGAACCAGAACAAGCCAGAAGACGAGGCTGATGAGTGGGCCCGCCGTTCCTCCAACCTGCAGTCTCGCTCCTTCCGCATCCTGGCCCAGATGACAGGGACGGAATACAGTGAGTGAAGGATGACAAGGGTGGGTGAAGAAGAGCAATGCCGAGGGACCCCAAGGGTGTTGGGTCCTGCTCCACAATCTCAAGGTCCACAGAAGCCAAGGAGTCAAGCCACCTGCCCCCTAAGATGAGCTGACATTGATAGATCATTAGCAGCTGGTGGAGCTCCTTCTGAGCCTCTCTGGTGGGCTGTCCAATGGCTGCTTTCTGTTCTGATCCCTAACTCCAGTCATGGGCAACAAACTTGTCATACAGCCTTCAGGTGACCTGATTGTCCAGGCCTGGGATAAGAGAACCCTGGAGTCTAGGCTCTGACTGCTCCCTTCCCACTGCACCGTGCCCTCTCAGCTGTCCCTGGCCCTCTGCCTGCATCACAGACTCTGCTTTCCACTGCTGACAGTCTGGAGGCAGGAAGTGTTCAGGGTCTGGCTGAATCTTGGGTACCCAGAATTCCATTGGCTTATCTTCCTTGATCTCTATGAGTCCCCTGACCAGCTCCTTTCTATCCACAGTGCAAGACCCTGATGAAGAAGCTCTGCGAAGATCAAGGTAGGTGCCTGGACTCAGGCTCTGTGGCCTTGTCCTCTAACCCCATCCCTCCCCAAGCAGCCCCCAGGTCACATGACTCATGGAAGGAACCTCTCAAGTTCACGTATTTGGAAAGCCCAGTCTGCAAAGGGCTGCTTGGGCAGCCATCCCAGGATAGTGAGGTGTGTGCCTGGAGCTGAGTCTCTATACCCCCAGGCCCAGGCTGCAGGAGTGAGGACCCTAGGCTCACCTGGCTCTATCCATGGGCAGGGGCAGGGCTGCTTTGGCCTTTTCTGGGCTGTTGAGAATGAGGGCATCTCTCCCTATGAGGGCAGTGGGCCAATGCCTTGTCTGTCCCCTGAGTCTGAAGGCTGGGCACTGGGAGCAGGCACAAAGAGGGCCATGCTGGGCATGAACACCTGATCCTTGGACTCCCTTGTCCATACCTACATTGAGGCATCAGATCTGTAAATTTCTCGGAGCACAGCAGCTGCACAAAGAACGACAAGCCCCCAGCATGAGGAGGGGTTTGTGCAGGGCTCGAGGTCTCAGGGCATGGTCTCCTTATCAGTGGCAGGTCTGAGGCCACAGCCACTCACTTACTGTCTGCAGCTTGTCAGGTGCTATACCCCTGAGCATGAGGGGGGCATGCTGCCCTAGAACACTCTGGAACCCATGGATTTCCATGGTGAGGCATGGGGCCCAGTGTGATTATATGATTATGTGTCACTCCCAGTAGCAAATATGTGATCTGCATGCTCTTCCTGAGACAGTCTGCCTTGGGCTAGCACATCCTGTGCCATCTCTCTGTGAGGGGTTGGGGCTCAGAGGCATGTTCCCACCATGAGCCAAACTTTCTGTACTTGCTAACCAGCTCTCAGTGACCACAGGACTTGCAGGGAGTAGGACTCTGGGACCAACTCAGACTTGATATGGATGTTATTGCTCAGCCTGTGTTTTTGCCAACTGCAGTGGCTCCCTCCTTTAGGCTGGGCCAGACATGCTAAGGATGGCAATGCAGTACCATAAATCTTCGTTAACCCTTTAGTGCCTGCAATGCGTCTAAACAATGTGGAAGTGAATGATATTTGATTTAGCTCAAAAATTAAAAGCTAGTTACTTTATGTATGGCTGAGCTTCCAGCTCTCCCCCTTCTTTGTTCTGCTGTCCCTATATGCTATTTCCCTATTCCTGTGTTTGTCCTACCCTCCTCCTTGAAGTCATCCACATAAATACTTTGGGGAGCAATGCAGACTTTCCCAGAGATTTGATGGAGGGGTCTTTACATCACATCCTGCAGCAAACAACTTCAGTATCCCCAGGTTCTTACCCTCAGGAAGTCAGCAGGTGGCCTTTTTTCTCCCTTCCACAATATACAGAGGCCTGCCTTCCTGGCCCCTGCCACCTCATTCTGGTCACTTTATGTTCCTCTTCATGCATGGTGGATCATGCTAAGTTTGTGCCTCATTCACCTCTCATCTTTATAAGGGGAAGGATACTGGTGAAAAGTGATTTCAGCAAACTTTTATCTTTTCAATTTTCCCCTGGAATATTTGCAGGCTCTACAGAAAGTTATTGAGGCAGTATCAAGGGTGGATCACAGGCCCAGTCCTTGGGTCTCCCCTCCCTTCCTTTCAGAAGTATCTTATTCTGCCATGTCTAGTCCTTCCTCCAGGGACCTGGCCCGGAGCAGAAGGCAGCAGGTCTTAGAACTCTGCTCCAGCTTTCAGGGCTACACCACTCTCCCCATCAATCTCCCCCAACTTTAGGGTTTCATCAGAGGCAAATCTGGAAAGAGGGACCAAGAAGAGGCTCCAACCCAATTCCTCCCTCAGCCCCAGGCAGCTTTTGTTAGCCAGCCCTTCCCCTGGGATCTCAGGCCCTGCAGTGGAGACTCTAGGGCACCAGCAAGTCTTCTGCCCATGTCCAAGGGACACAAACCTCCCACCATTCTCCCTTTTCCTGACTAACTTCTGGAGGGTTGTCATGGGCAAAGCCTCCCAAGTTGATGAATCACAAGCAGCCCATGGACCCAGGCTGGTGTGAGGTGTAGTGGACACAGGAACTGCAGTCTGTTTATAATTAAAACCCTAAGTCATGTCAATGGCTGGTGACCCAAGTGATTATCTGAGCAGAAGGGAGCACTTGTTCCTTTCCTGAGTACAGGCTGGTCAGGGACTTTGCTCCTCATGGGGCCAGTCATGCATCTACCCATTTCTACTCCCAAGTCCGAAGTTGCATCCCTAGACCCTGCTGACCTGTCCTGTTGGCCAAGAGCAACCATCACTCCTTCTCTTGCCAAATTCGCAACACTCCCAGAGCAGATGCTAAGGGTCTCTCCTGAAGGCTGAATTTCCCCAGGGAGGCTTTGCTGCAAACTGCTGCCAAGTATTTTATTCCACAAGGACCTGAGTTTGCTAAGCCTGTGCATGGTGACACTCTGTGCTGTCTTGTGTGGTGCAAAAGTTTGTGGGAACATTGAGTGAGTAGCATAAGGCATTCAGTACTTGGCAGGAATACTGGTGCAAAATTGCATGGCAGGAAAACCTTGCGATCTCTGCTTCTGCTCCACCTCCAAGGCCTGCCCACCCTCAAAGTCCCGGAGGAGACCACAGTTCTGCCCCACCCCCCTCCTCTCCACCTGGGTCCTGGCTCCCAGTGGTATTTCTGGTGTGTCTGGTAGAACATAGTTTTCCTTTGAGGCTCCAGTGTCCACCTGCTGGCCAGCCCAAGTTTGAGTCTAATCTCCAAAGACTCTTTCCAAAGATTCTATCTCTTTACAGGTAAGGGGAGGAAGGGCAATGAACAACCCAGGCAGCAAAGAGCCTATACCTTCAGAAAACATCCAGGCTGGCTTGAATCAGCTTTCTGCATACTTCCCCATGGAAGCTACTCTAGTAGGTGTAGGTGACACAGTTTCACAGCTTCCATCTGAAGCAGCTGAGCATAAATAGTACTTTCATCTCCAAAGTGGAGTCCCTAATCTTAGAGACCACTGCAACTTTCTTATGACTTCAGGAAGGCATCCTGGGACCCTGTGGCTCAGAAGGTTGGGTCCATGGTGGTGGGTAGTTGTGATCGGGTTGGGGTGGTAGCAAGCCTGGCTCCGTCTTAGAAAAAGCATGGATCTGTGAGGCATCTGGATTTCTGCTGCATGGATGTAACCATCCTGGAGGCCCTGTGTGTGACCCAGACATCCTTGCCGGAGTCTTGTGGTTTAATTGCCTACAAGTGCAGTCTCTGTCCTGGCTGATGCTCTGGTCAGGTGCAGAACTCAACAGCTCTCCAATCTCCCAGGCAAGAAGGAACAACATTGAGTTTAGTGACAAGTTCCTAGAGAAGTTGAAGGTGAGGGTCACATCACATGTTCCTCCTAAAACAACAAAAATCCCTCCAAGCCTCTTCTTTACCCCATAGTCATTGGGGTTCCCCCCATGCCACTCACCTGCTTCATGCAGAATGTCAGCACTCTGGCTCTTCCCCCTCCTTTCTGTACCCCCTTGGGCACTTCAATGTCCTCTCTGCTCCCCTGTGTAGTCAGTTATCGTCTCTGTCTCAACTCCAGCCACCAAGCTTCTGTGGCAGGCTCTCATAATACTAGCACTGCATGGGGCCCTCCCTCTAGAGGGACCCTCTTAAGCAAACAGTTAAAAAAAAAAGTTACCTGCAACCTGTATTTTGTACATTTTTAGCTTCTAATACTGTGCCACCTGCAAGTTTAAAAGTCATAACTGGAGAGATTAGAACATCCCCAAGTGTTACAGTCTGAGCAGCCTTGGTGGGCTCTCTCTTTCTTTCTCTTGTTCTCTCTTTTTCCCTTTCCCATGTGTATTTGTCTTGTTGCTCCTTTCTTCAGCTACACAGCACCAAGCAAGGCAGGCTTACTAGACTCACAGAGGCTCCAGGACTATCCCTCACCCTGTCACTAAACCTTCACTGATGGCAAACTGTCACTCAACCTCAGCAGACTTGGCTAGAAATGACAGTTTACAGGTTACTGGCTGCATCTGGTTTTGCACCTTTATGTCCTGGGCAGTTTCGATAGCATGGTCATGATTATTTATAGCTGTATGAGCTCCATGAGCCTTGCCGGAGGGAGGGCTTTTGCTCATGCTGTCTTCGCCCCTTCACCCTGATCTTAGAGAAGCAAGTATGAGGCAAGGGAAGAAGACACCCAGCATTTCATGGTTTTGTTTCTGATTTTCTCTAGAGCTTTAAACCATTCACGTGGACATCTCTGGGCCTTAGTTTCCTCTTAGTTTAAGGAAAGGTTGGACTAGACCAGTAGTTTTCAACTCTGTTAGCTGTGCTTCCCTTTTGTCAAGTTTTTACACAAAGACCCAATATACAGGGCTGAAGGGGCACAGCAAGAATTTGCCACATGAAGCAGACATGGGAAATTGCACCTCTGAAAAAATGGGGATGCAGGGACATGGGAACCAGTAACCGATGACTGTTACTCTGCAGAAATATAAGACCAACACTGCCATATCTTCTGATCTTTAAGGGCCTAAAGTTGACATTCTTGATTCTTTATGTGATAGAAATTCATTTTTTTAAATTAAGCTTCTTAGTTTGAGATAATTGCTGATTCACCTGTAAGTTTAACAAATAATATAGAGCTCCCATGTACCTTTTACCCTATTTCCCCCACTGATAGCATCTTGCAAAACTTTACCAAAATATCAATGGTATCAGTGACTTTGCTGCAGTCAGGACACAAAACATTATGTCACCATAAGACCACTCTTTGTTGCCTTTGCAGAGCCATGCCCACCTGTGCCCACCTCCTCTTAACCTCTAGCAACCACTAATCTGTTACCTGTTCTCCATTATATTACTTCATCCTTGTCAAGAATGTTATATAAATGAAATCATAGAGTATGTGATCATTTTAGGATTCTTTTCCAAACAGCATAATTCTGGGAATTTATCCAAATTGTTGAGTGTACTATTACTGGTTGAGCATCCCTAATTCAAAAATCCAAAATCTGAAATGCTCCAAAATCTAAAATTTTTGA